AAGTCATTTAACAGAAGGTGAGTGGAAGCAAATGATGAACGCATCCTTCAGCGTAGCAGCTGAACTAAAAAGCACCTGCTGAAATCCTTGTGGGGTAGAATATTCTGGCGGGGAAAATGTTGCCTATACGACTTCACTGACGTGTTACTCTCAGCTTAAAAAAGATATCCACTGTTTACCAGACACTACACATAATACAGAAAACTTCTGAGTAGAATGACTATTGCATTTATCTATTCTCTCTCCCTCAATTCAGCAGATTTCTCCAGCTTTTATGAACAAAAAAATGCAGCCCCTCTCTCTCATCTGCTTGGACTGCTGCAATTAATGAGCTAAGACAAGCACTGCCACAAGCACGGTTCACTATCATTGTTCCAGTCCGTGTCCAAATTATGTTTAAAATAGTTGGCAAAGAGAACTGCTGAGAGAGCAAAACAAGATTGCTCAACGCACCCAATATTCTACAGGTTTCCTTCATATAGAAACATCACTCTTCATATAGGCATGTAAAGAATTTTGTTTTCTTTCATACTAGACTGCAGGCCATACTAGGTTATTTTTACTCATGGCCAAACAAGATCAATAGTGAATAATCATTTTCTCTGTAATACACAACTTCTCACTCTTGCCTGAAACAAAACAAAATGAAAAAAACCCAAACAACTCTAAACTATAAGAAAGCATCTTCCTTTTTTTTTATGATTATAAAACAAGTCAACTGTTTTTGTTTATTTGACTAGGTCCACTGCTCTAGAAGACAACACAGGCATCAGATTTTGTACATAACTCTCACAAGAATTCAAAGTCCTTTTTGACTTACTAAGGGCTTACAGTGGGTCCAGCAAGACTCAGTAACAAGTTACACTCCTTTGCAGTCCAATCATGAGTAATTCAGTAAAAACAACTGCCTTTTTTGAATTTGCAAAATGATAACACACTAAACATCTAAATTTCTTTCTAAGTATCTAAACAACTAACTTTTTAAAAAAAAGTTTTATAACTATCACTGATTTTATAAACCCAAGCTTAAGACTGCTAGTCTATTTGAACAACATAAAATCAGTATTGCATATTTATCAAATAGCGTACAACTGCATACATTCCATCAGAAATCCCAAAAGTATGTCAGGGAAGTCTTTCAGTGTTTTCTGGCTTGTACTGCAAACCAGCAAACCTTGGGTTGTCTAAACAACATGGTTCTTTAAAAACAGGTTTGAATTCTCTCCAGGAAGAGCTGATCCTTATTTGGATATCAATCTAAAAGACTCAGAGCTATGCATTCTCTCTGAAACTGTGTAGGAATGTCTCAGCGGTGGAGAGAGGAATCCAGTTAATGAAGTAAGAGAGAAACACACTGCCAGAAGGACCCTTTGGTGCTCTGTCCTGTCCTTTCCCTGTTGCCTCACACTGTCAATCACATGTGAGAAGGCAGTATGAGCTGTTTCTTGCACACATGTACAAGCCTCATAACTGATAGTTTTGAAGCAACTCTTATTAAAAGTCATACAGGGAGAAAACACTTCATTGTTGAAATCTCTGTGTTACTTTATATGAAGAGGAGGAAGTTTCATGTTAGCCTGACACAGATGAGTAATCATCTTGATATCATTTCCTAGATGAATAATCTTCTCAGGAAAAACTGCTAAACATTATCAGTTGCAGTTCAGACAGCCCAGCTGGGATGAGTCAGGTTGTAGGAGCACCTCGAGCTTCAGAGAAGCCGGAAACCTGCCAGTGATTAAAGGTAGAAGCTTCCAAAACACATGAGAAGTAAGGCTACTAGCTTGTTTACAAAAGTTGGTCCATCTTTAAAGTCAGACAGATCTTGCACTGCTTTTTCCCCACATGGTTATATCAATATCTCAAAAAGACTCGTGTCTCCCCAGTTGACACTGTCATGCCGAACAGTCTCCTTGTATGAACACAGGTTACATTGACAGAGGAGGGTGGCTGGCAATCTGTATCATTTGGAGATGAGGTCTAGTTACACCAACAGTAAACCCATTTTGTTGACATGTTAGGTTTGACCTAAGCCACCCTGCTAACATCAAACCTATTCCACAGAAGTACTGTAGTATAGACTGCAATGTAATGCCATCCTATGTACAATACAGTTCCCCTACTCTAAGTTCAGAAACATACATCATAAGCATGGATTCATCTCCTTAAAATCATGAGTTAATTTTCTCGGATTTAATAATATTGATCCTTTCCTGTAAGAAAAACTTCGTAAATATGTTGCCTGTACTTACCATGAGGGTGATGTGCATAATTTTTACGTAGATTATGCATTTAAGAAACACGTAAGTGACAAGATTTTCAAGTGATATTTTTTTACTGTCACTGTTTTTAGTCCATTGTAGCATAGCCTTACAAATGATTTTCCAATTTAGTCAGGAAAAATCACTGTCAGCAAGCAAGTTGCTTAATGTTGTTTACAACATGTCTTCTTAAGGTCAAAATTAACATATGTAATGATCATTTTAAGGAGTGACATTGTGATGCATCAAGCATGAAAGAGGTCAAGAGTAAGTCCACTAATAATGTCATCTTCTTATATATCTCCAAATATGCAAAACAATCTGTGTTTCAACTGGCTCAGTCTCTTTCATGAGTTTTGGGGCTACTATATACATATAAACATATATCGAATAGGTTCTTTCATGGAGTGAAGAAGTGAAGAAACATTCTCTGCCTTGCCCTCGTAGGAGCTGGTTTCCTACTGCATCGAGTGTTTAGGTAGCCCAGGGAAATCAGTGCCTGAACTCAGGCATTCGAGTTTGGTGCTTAAAGTTAGGTGGTATGAACACGCTCGCCTCCAACAGTCTGTTTATTTTCCCACAGAAGTTTGCTGAAATTCCCATAGATTTTTCTTAGAGCTGTGTTGGTTTAATGTGATTTGCTGAAGAACTTGTTTATTCTTTACAGGGTTCTGTTTTTCATGTGTAACCTTTTCCTGTTTCCTTTGAATATTCTCAGAAGACTACACATCTCCACTACTACATAACAAAGAACCTTGTTTAATATAACTATATTTTTATAAGTGGCTTAGAAGTAGGTTAGCCTGTTTACAAAGTGTTTGCCTGCTTTAAGCATGTTTTAAATACCTTACTTTATCTTACTTAGAAATCCACTAAACTTTTCCATGCATCTGCAGACAGAAAAGGTCTTTTAGATTTAATTGCTGCTTCCTGAAGCAACCAACCCATATCACTGTATCAAAAGTGTTATGGTTGTTGATGTTGAGGTTGTACTGATCAACTAAACAAACCTTTCAGCTGTCAGATTTGACAGTGACACATACATAACATCCTCTTTATAAAGTGGAAACGCACCAAGCACTTCGGAGAGCCAATATACTATGCACTCAACCTTTTTGCAAAGAAGGGTAAGAATCACACCTAATTTTTCTCCATAGCTGTACTCAAAGGAGGCATACACCTTAAAATGTTGTTTTACAAGGCAGCACCCCTAGCTAAGAGCGCCATCGGAAAGGGACTGGATTGTATGCAGCCAGCCAGCTAGGCACAAGAAGCATGTCAACTAATGGGAAACAGCCCTTCTTCATGGCATTTCAAGACCTTGTAGTAAAACTGAATTAGTCTTGGCAATACAGTTAACTGTGTTTTTGTGGTTTCCCTTAGAGTGGCTACACTGGTAGCTCAGGAGCTGCTGTTGAAAAAGATCACGGAGTATCTTGGGCAAGTCACGGTCAAGCCTCACTACATACAAAAGCAAAAAACACCAAATCTCACCCTGGAAGGGACAAAGAGGTAGAGAAGTAATTAATTCTCCTCTTCCTTGAGCGTACAGTCATTCTAGGCTGTAAACTGCAGGATAAAAGGCCTAGTGATAACTCTATTATGGCAACCAAGTATATGCTTTATCTAAATAGAGAAGAGATAGAGAAGAGACATTGTAGAAAGACATTGCCCTTCCCTTTCTCTCCCTTTTCATTCTGTTTCTATTGCACACATTTACATATACATTTCAGCCACTGAAGTGTTTACAGATGTACTCAAGCTAGAGCCCATCCTACTGATTTAAAGCCCACGGAGTCACACAGAACCCAATTTATTTCACAGGGAAGAAAAGCAAGCATGACATATTTGCTAGGAATACTTCTGAAACCCTGTCACATCTGTTTAAAGAGGTAACATGGCCCAGGGTCAAACAGATCTGCAGGCTAAGACATTTTTTGTTGATTTTTTTAATTGACACTGGAAAGCAACTAATGCCTTGTACATACTGGACCCTGTCACTGAGGTGTAAGCCAGGCGTGCCTTATTGAAACTCAAGATGAAAGTGCCCCTAAGTGGAGACAAGTACATTTGGAGAAGTGTCCACATTTCTTATAAATTAGTCATTAGTCAGAAATGAAGGTAAGATAGGTGCCCAACTAAAATCTGTTTCCCTGCTGCCTAAACCTCCTTTTTTTTTTTTTTTTTTTTTTTTTTTTCCTGAGCTCTCTTTAATACTTTCTGACTAATTTCTTCAAGGACTGTTGGCATGCAAAATCACAAAACCTAAGACTCTCAAGGTACACAAGTTGGATATACATCAAAGTGTTATTTTCTTATAACAGTTGGCTACCATGCCAAATTGATGCATGTTCCCACTGATGCAAGAGAGAAACCTTGGGATATATCCCAAAGTCAGATAGAATTGTATCACGTGAGGTATATTCAAACCAGGTCAAAGAAAAGGTTTGCTGATTATCTACAATTTTTTCATGGACTGGTCAGCATTACAGTAAAATGGTAATTATGCTTCATTAATCCCTCCAATTAATCCCTGATCCCTTGTAAATAAGGTTAATAACATTGGTGCATGCGATACCAAGGGACCGATCTCAGTCTGGGAAGACCTTTCCATTTGAATTGTTAGCAACCAGACTGTTTTATTCTGCCAGAAGAAAAACAAAAGCCTCTAGTAAAACACCAACTAAATTATTATTGCCACACATTTTTTTTTTTCCCAATACTATTTTTCATGTTTACCTTTCTTGCATCTCGTATCATCTTCCGAACAGTTTCCTTTATGGTATAAGGCTGTGCTCGTGGTGGATGAAAAAGCAGATCAATATTTGTGCCACCAGAAATTCCAGGCATCAGGTAGGGCCAACCTAAGTCAAGATTTGGAGCTTCCACATCTGATTCAATAGGCCAGTAGGTTCCCGAGGAAGAGGTGTCATCAATGGCATGGTTAGAGGAATAAATCGTGCTTTGAGGAAGTTTGTGAACATTGTTCAAGATATAATCAATTTCCTCATCCGCTAGGAACTCTGAGCATCTCTCTTTGGAAAGAAATTCTTTGTAGGCTTCTAAACCTCCTTCAATCAGTGCATCAATAGCTACTCGGTACCATTCCTTGTAATGAGGTTCAATATAGTTGTCTGATCTGCATTCATCATGTAAGGATGATAACAAAGATGAAGTTTCCATTCTCACATATATTTTGTATAAAGACTCTTAAACTTCCATTCGTGAGCTGATGAAATGTATCTGTAAGGAGAGAAAAGAAGAAAATCAGAATATTTGTAGAGACCTGTAGACCTATGACATGCACACAGATATTATTCAAAATACTTTTATGGTAATGTTGCTCTAGGTTTTTCTAGCACCTTCCAAGAATTTAAAAATGTTTTGGAAAGGCTCAGGGATTAATATTGCCAAATTAATATTAAAGATCTAGATAAAGAGCTGCTTCTACATCAGGCAAAACTAAACACATAATTATGTGATTTGATTAAGTTCTTATATTAAAAGCTAGAGCAGAACTCATAAGACAATGAAGATCTGAACCAGTAACACCAATACATACCCGATGCATGTTTCAATACACCACCCTAGGTTGTGTTTCAAAACTCTTTATAACAACCGACAGAGTAGTGTTCAGAGAAACACTTCAGAAACCAACTATATTTCCTACTTTTTGATGCATTACTCTTTCTCTGCAATGCATTCCTTTTCTCTGGCTTCTTTGAAACCACAATCATTCAGGCCCTCCTTATCTATCTGTTCTCCCATGCTGATCTAATCCATTTGTTGCTCCCAAGCAGGACCAGCCTACCTCATTTCAGTGAGTTATGAGGAACTCCAGAAAGATTTCTCCTCCCACATCTGGGATCTAACTCTGAATCAGCAATCTGATGTCTAGTTTCCACCCTGCTCATTCCTTCTGCCAAAAGGAGCGGCTGCTTTAATCTTACCTTTTTTTTTTTTTGTTTTTCCAAAACATTAATAATAAGTTGTTTACTGCTGCTGATTTATAGATTCATTCTTACCATCTTTTTATTTCACTTAACAAGAGCTTAGAGGGTTGGTTCCTGCTGTGACAATTTGGGATTTAAGGTAGAGAGTGAAAAATGGCCGACGTTTCTTTCTTCACGTTTGTGCAACCCTACGGGACTCCAGCAACTCCACTGTTCATCTAAAACCTAAACTGCAATGACTTTCTGCACTGGGCAGGTAAATCACAGGAAAAAAAACAAACAAACAAACAAACAAACAAACAAAAAAAAACAAAAACGTGTGGGGGCGGATTTTCATGACAGTAGCATGAGAATGGCCCTGTAAAATAGAACGATGATACATGGTAACACTGTTTCATCTGTCAGGGCTAGGGCAGGAAGCTTAAGAGAAAGAAGTACAAAGGACATTCAACAAAGGCAGAATAGTTACAAAAAACATATACAAAATGCAGCTTGAAAGTTAACACTGGGTTTCCCTACAAGCCTATTTAATAGTACAGCAGTATAACTGCAAGAAATAGTCGTGCAGAGTTCTGATTTCATTTACTAGCATACAAACGTAACACAATTCTCTCTTCACATCAAGACCTTTCAGATATTTTTGCAAACCATGCATTTGCCTTCCACTGTCTCCTGGGAACAGCTTAAATCTTCTTGAAAGGAAACCTAAATTAGCTACATTACCTAAAGGAATGAAAATCAAAATCTCCATACAACACTGATACTCCAAAGTCCAATTAAATGTTCAATTAAACCAAGATTTCTGAGCAACTTGGGAAGTCTGAGGTTAAAAAAAGACCAAGGAAGAAAAATCCAGATCTGAGGCTGGCATCAGCATGTCATGTGAAATAATTCCATTTGAATCCTGTCTCTCAGCCAAGTAGCAGGGTAGATCTTCCCAGATAGGATTGCTTTCGAGCCTGGGGGAAAGGAGTGTTTCTGGCTGCTTCCAGAGTAGCTCTTTGTGGTGAACTGTAAAGCAGCAAGCAAAAGGGATCCGACTGCTCTCCCCTGATCGAGAACTATATGCATTCCTGTGACAGATGTTCAGGGCTTTATTCTACACTGCTCTCACAGGTAGAAATAAAACGTTATAAAATAGGAGTGATACCACGTCACTTTGCCCAGATGCAGATACAGCCTGTGGTGTAAGGCGATGGAGAACGGAGCAGGCGGTACAGACGAGACAGGCCGATTCAATGGTCAAACTCTTAAAATATCGTAAAATTAAAACATTCGCATCAATGTCCCTTGAAAGCAAATCATCTGGAACAGGTTTTCAAGACATTTTAGAGGAAGAATGAAAAACTACCAAGAGTACAAAATGCAGAGTTATTCAGCTGAGTTGTTCTGAAGAGTTTCAACTCTAGTACAGGTGACTTTACTGAGAATCTAATACACCTCTCTTGCAGGGCCCTCCAGGACAAGTAACACTCTAAACAGTGTCGTAAAACAGTCAGTCTTATTGTGACATTTAAGACTAAATCTGATTTTACAATGGCAAATGAAAGATATTTTTTAAATTCTTATGAACTTGAATTGGAGATCCTTCTAACAGGGATTTTGTCACTGATTTCATATATACAGTTGAGAAAGACATAAGTATTTATTTCAAAAGCTTATCTAAATCCCTTTTTTCTTCTTCTCACTTCTTTGAAAATAATATAAGGGAACAGGACTATACTTAATATGTAAAGTTGTGCAATATAAAATATTGAATGTTATGAACGAATAAAAGGCAAAAAATGACTGCATGTGTGTTATGGCTCACATGAGTTTTTTGTTCTGTTGAGTCCTTTTGATTTGCTTTTTGTAATTGTGTATTGTTGTATATTGTTTGTCTTTTCATTGAAAAGACATAATTGTATATTGTTGTATATTGTTTGTCTTTTCATTGAAAAAACATAATTAACTAATTGTGACATCGGTCAAATGCAGTAACTTATGCTCAGAGTTATGCTGAAAGCAGGATATAAATATACCATAATCTTGGAAAGGTGGGACTTCTTGTGCAGTGTCTTCTGAACAGGAGTAGTTATTTTACAGTGAACATCTTTGATGTTGATCTTTGATTTACATGTGTTGTTTATAAAAGAAGTTTAAAGCAGTGCACATTTATTTAAGAAAATAAATGTAAAATCTGTCAGCGTGGAAATAAATCACAGAATAGATGAGACAAATTACAAAATTCTAATTCTGTTTTTTTGGAATTGAGGACTTCAGCGATACATGCGATACATTCATCAAAACACTCAAAAGAAAACTCTCAACTTAAAATGATGACTTCAGATATATTTGACAACAGCTCTAGATGTCTTGACACAGCTATTTTACTCCTTAGAAGTTAAGAGCTATTTTGGAGGAAATGAGCCTATGAAACCAATATAATTTTAGATAGAGAAGCATAGGTTTAGACAAAGTTATAAAATAAACTTTTTGGTGTCTTCTTCAACTGTGCAGAATGATTTCTGCATAATCAACTCGATTCCTCAAATATTATCCTCAGGTCAACAATTCTACTAGGTTATGCAGAACGAGACCCACCTCTGGAGGCTTCCATATCAGACTTCATGCGTATCATCACAAATTTTACTAGCACCAGGAAAGCTGTTATTCATCCTCTGAGAAATAACCTTGGCTATTAATCCCAGCCCAGTGCATCAGCTATCTTCTCGGCTGGGACACAGGGATCAATTACTTAAAACTTTTTTATGACGTGCCATTGATGAGGTTAAAATGAATTTAAATCCCAATGCAGCTGCTAAAACAGAATCTTTTGCTGAAGAACAAAAATTCTGAATCCTGCACTGATGTGATCATCTTGTACTTCTGTTAACAACACGCTCGGACCTTTCCAGTGACATTATCAGAAAGCCAGAAAGAAAAGAGTTTTTTCATTGAAAGAAAAGTAAATGTGCCTTTTTGCAGAAAGATACGGAGAGTATCCCAGCTTCCACAAACGTAGGAGATGACAAATGCCCACTGAAGAAAATGATGCAACATTCTGCCATGGTTCCAGGAGCACAGTCCTCCAGGCTAGAGCTAAAGACAAGCAACTTCCCTGCCTTACTAATATTCTCAGGATTTGAAAAATTTCCTATTCAGCAGCTTTGGAGAGCAGCTCTAACCTCAGGCTCGTACAGCCGGTCCTTGGCAAGCCCCTGGCCATAGTGCTCTCCTCAGGATGTTCTTATTTATCTCTTTCCCAAAGGAAATGTGACTGCTTTGACAGTTTCTGCATAAAGTTTCCACCTTGACACCCCAGTTAAAGGAAATTTAAACCACAGGAACACCTCGTTGCAAGCCCCTTCTCAGGTATGGTTTCTGGGGCATCCACCTGAGCACCTCTGACCCACGGCACTGCTTAAGGGCCCAGCATGACCAGACTTTAACAGAATAAACAGGCATTTTACAACAGCTGCCTTGCACCAACCTTTGTATTAAGAAATTGTATCACGAATAAATAATAATTACCTACATTAAGCAGTGACAGGCAATTATTTCATTATTAATGAAATTACAGTATTTTTCGTGGATGCAAAAGGCATCGAGTTCAAGCAAAAAACAACACCGCAAGTGTTTCTGCTTTTTTTTTAAAAAAAAAAAAAAAAAAAAAAAAAAAAAACAACCAGAAAGTTAACTTTTCAGGCAAAACGGAGGCAACCAGCCCTCCGCCAGCCCCGCCACGTGCTGGGACACGCCTCAGCCTGGAGGACACCCCACGCGTGTCATCCCCCCGGCCTCGGCGGGGCCGCTACGCCCCACGCTCCCGCGGGCCCCCGGCCGCGTCGCGGAAGGGATGGGGGGGGCGAAGGAGGAGGGGGGGGCGCAACGAGGCCCCGCGACGGAGCGCGGCGTGGGAGCCCGTCCCCGCCGGCCGCCGCTCCCGCCCGGCCCTTCTCCCGCCGCCGCCGCTCGGCTCCGGCTCCGGTTCCTCCTGTTCCCCTCAGGTGCCCGCGCCCGGCGCCACCGCCGCCTCCTCCGCCATTTCGCGACCCCCAGCGCCCGCAGCCCCCCCCCCCCACTTCCCCCGCCCCTTCCCCAGCCCGGAGCCGAGCCTGCCCCCCCCCCCCCCCCCCCCCGGGGGCCGATCCTGCCCCCGTCCCCGGCCGTCGCGGGGGGGAGGCAGGCGAGACACACACCCCCCCCCCCCCCCCCCTTACCGCGGCGGGGTCTCTGCTGCGGAGCGGCGGGGCGGTCCGAGCCGGCTGCTGCGATCGCGGCGGCGGCGAGTCAAGGCGGCGCAGGAGGGCTCATCGCAGGTACTTCCCGTCGCTCTCGGGCGCGGTGGGTGTGGAAACCAGTTACAACATGTCAGGACGGTGTCGCACCAAACCCGCCGCCGCGGGAGCGGGGCAAGGGCTTGTCTGAACTGGGGAAGCCCGGCCCTCGCGTGGAGCGAAGGGCAGCGCCTCCCCAGGGGCGCGGCGGGCCCCCCCACCCCCCCACCGCCCCACCGCCCCACCCGCGCCCGCCGGGCGGCCCGCGGTCCCGCGGGGCGGGGGCCGGGCCGAGCCGCGCACATCGGCAGCCGCGCGGGGGGACCCTGGAAGCGGGGCGTGCGGGTGCGTGGGAGAGGAAACTCGGCAAACTTTGGCTTGCAGAAAAAAAAAAAAAAAAAAAAGTAGACCCGTCAGCATCCAGTCACGGTTTCCAGGTTAACTCCCGGGGGGGTGGCAAGTCAGGGCAAGGGAGCGGTACCCGTTCGAGACCTTTAAATCGGGTTGTGCGGATGAGCCCCCTTTCTATAGCTCGCTTGCTTTAAAATGCTCATCTGTTGCTCGTGATGCCTCCGGTGAGGGGAGATGGCCCTGAAGGCAGAGCCCCCCCATTCCGGCCGCGGTGCCGCCGGGCCCTGCTGCAGGGTCACCCTCCGGGCCGGCCCGCAGGCTGGGCACGCCAGCCTGGCCATCCCCCCCCCCCCCCCCCCCCGGGAATCGTTCCAGAGACCTCGCTGAAAGGTGCTTCCAAAAACACGGACCCTCTTTTTAGCAGGATCACGCAACTGCCGAGAGATCAGCACGTCACCCATGTGCGTGGCTCAAGCACACCGAGGCTTAAGCACACCAGGTTTCCTTTGTCGCTTTAAATTAAGGGCAATAGATAGAAAACTTTTTTATAGGCTTTGTCCATATCATACCCTGTGGTGCATAACTGCAGGCAGGTTTTTTATGAGCCATTTAAGACAATGCAGTGTAACCCTGACAATTATGCTTTATCAACAATAATTAATCCAGTCTGGCTTTAAGCACAAACTTTCTTTCTAACCTTTACTGCCCAATAGTAACTGCAGAGTGTAGCCTATTTCTGAATCTAAGCATGGTTCTACCATGACTTTTTGATGACAGTTCTCAGAGGAAAAAAAAATATGCATATTTACATATGTGTATTGCATATATATGTATAAGTAAAAATATGCAATATAGATGTGTGTGTATATATACACATATATACACATACAACATATAAATCAAAATAGACAATATATGTAGATAAATGTATAAGTTTGGTGGCCACCAGGCAGTGAGTTTTTCTGTACAGTCAATTCAGGTAATAGAATGTGCAAGAGAAAATAGTCAGTGTCAATATACTCATGGACTACCCTCTACAGACAGAGTATGATCTGGATCAAATTCTTAGACTCTTCTCACACCTAAAAAAGAATTTCCCTGGTTTTAACAAAAAGGGGGAAAACTGCTGTAAAAACAAACAAACTTTTAAAATGTACTTATTACTTTATAGTTAGTTAGTACATGGCACTTTTTATCCCATGAAAATGTGCAGTCAGGAAGGAGAACATGTTTCTGTGGAAACTTGTCCATAAACAGTTCGGGCCATATAAATTTTTTAAAGGTCAAATCTATTTTCTAAAATTATTTTTGAAAGGGTAGGAAGGTAGATGGGTGATCACAAAATTACTTTTGACCTTGACTGATTTGGTTGGACTTTTATTACATAAAAATTACAAGTCTTTCTCTTAGAGACGTCATTGGTTGAGTACTGGCTTAGCATAAACAAAAAGCTGTAATGAGACCAGTAATAGCTTTCTAAATAAGGAGATCTTCATGAAAAAAAGACCTAAGATTTTGCTACTTTAGTATCTATACAAGAAAAAGGTTTCTTCTGTGCCTTTACCGTGCCTAGTTCAGTGGGAAACTGATCTAATACTGAGATCTTAAGCAACGTGCAAGCACGCATGCAATACAAATGAACAATACGGTATAAAACAGCAACAATAATATCAGCAATAATAAGGCATTATTATTGCTGTTGTCACTAAGGAGAATGATGCGTTCTCTAAATAGCTAGTACATTGTGCCAACTTTAATATTAATGTGGAAACAGAGCGGTGAGAAGAGATGAAGAAAACTTAAGCATATCTTTTTAAATGCTGAGAAAGTCCTTGCATAAGAGATAGAAAAAGGGGATGACAAGTGCTGCTGGAGATTCTTCCACGCAGTTGGGGGCTGCCTGAGTTTATCAATCGAAGCTCTCCAGTAGCTATACCACGCCAGACATTTCACAAAACCTAGCTTGGATACTGTGTTTTGGAAACCAGCTATCCACAGTCAACTGTCAAAATAAGGAATGTTTTTACTCTGCACGTTGTAAACTTACGGGTCTTGCAGCCACAGGAGTCAGTGGAGGCAGACAGTATGGGCAATCTCAGTAAGTGATAAGACAAATTCTTAAACAATAGGTATAAAACTGGATTCTAAAAGGATGAGGTAGGAATATGCCCTTTAACATCCTTACTTCTAGAGTTGTGAGGCTGCAGCAGTTTGAGACAGACTGCAGAAACTGACCAGGCTCTCGTTTGCCTAAACAGCCTTTCCTTTTGCCATTGAAAATGTAACATAGAAGCATCCTATTGATTGGAATTGTTTTACTGGAATCCCACTGATTCATGAAGTCTCAAAGCTATAAAAAAAGTTCTTATTGTAGACAGAGCCTGTTCATGTGAAAAAGGAATCAACTTTGTTTGTTTGATACCACCATCTTGAGAATGTAATCAGAAAGAACACTGATTGTCTTAAATGACCTGGGTACTCAGATGATGGTGCTGATAGATGATCATCTCTGTAACTTCTATCAGTTTCCAGTTGTCAGTTCTGAGCCTTTTTTTTTTTTTTATATTGACAGATCATCTTGCCATGTACAGGTCTAGCTGAATGCAAGCAGAAGATAGAAGATTGTTATCACCTATACAATGACACCAGCCCGTAAGTTTATGATATGAACAGTTATTAAGGATAAATATTTATATTAATTGTACTTATATTCCTACTGCATGCTTACTAAGATTTAATTTAGATTTAATAAAGGGGACATTGATTTCGAAGCAGTGGATGTTTATACAATTCATGACATCTATGAGTTGAGCTTTATTAGATTTTAAACAGATGAAGAAGTAGTACAGTCCTGAAGATTCATACTATTTACAAATCAAAGGCAATCTCGTCTAAAGCATAAGCACAGAGACCTTACATACTAATCCTAAAATTAGAGGAAATGTGCTATTACAGGTATGGATATAAAAAGAGCTGCACTGCATTCATACAAAGCTTGATGGGTGCTGTTACAAAACCCCCACCTTTCATAAAGTAGCAGAGAGAAAAATGACATGGAAAAGTACAAATTAATATGGAAAAGCAGGTGTCCTATTCCAAGTACATGATTTTTCAAATTAAAGAATCATAACCTACTTTATTTGGTATCATATTCTTAAATCAGGGATACATTAATTTGGTCATAGTGACATAATTCAAATACTTGGCAATGTCCAAAAACCAATTAGTTTACCAGTTACCACCACAGCTTCTATCAAGAAATGGCCAGTAGTTGAAATGTAAAGAATTAAAGTCAAGATCATTTATGCAGAGAGTGCTCCTAACCCATATATGGTGGCCTGGCTAAATATGCTATATACCGTATGGTAGATTTTTGTCCTGGTTCAGGTACCATGTCAAAGCGTGCTGCAAACCTACTGAAATGATTTCAGGAAGTTCAATTGTGAAGAGTATCTGAGGGTTTCCTTTAAGGAATTTATGGTAAGTGATTAATAAAATCATGCAAAACATCTTATTTTTGAGACGCAAGTAAATAAATAAAAATCCACCAGTCTTTATTTTCTGCCCCCAATAGATATAACTGAGAGGTAGGGTAAAAGAGCAGGGTGAGAGGGATGATTGAAGGTGAAGAACAGCTTCTGTCTGAGGGAGAACCATGCAGACTGAGACTCTTCAGGTTGGGAATGGAGTTGGTGACTGAATCTTCCTGATGTAGTTCATCACACAGCATGTAGCTCTGCCGTAAAACAGGGCTGAATACAGAGAAGGAAACTCCTCTGAGGTCTGATCTAATATGAAGACACCACCACTGGCTTAGGAGACTCTGAGACAAGTTCCAAACTGATGGAGGATGACAAAGTATTCTTCATCCCTGTGCTTCATTCCTCTCCTTTTCCTCTTTACCGCGTTTCTACATGCACTGATAGTCATTGCAGGGCAGATACAGGGCTACATAGACCTTTCCTCCGACTTCATACAGCTGTTTTCGCAATCCTTCAGAGCATGCTAAAGCTAAAGAGTAAAAAAAAGGATAGGAGTACAGTTTCCTTACTTCAGATTAACTTCCTTCTCTATGGGTCCGAGAGGTAGCTCCCCTTGATCTTTGTACAGGCTCCTAGACCTCTGTGTGTGCCCTTAGACATGGTTCCACCCCCGCCCCTGGGTGCACAGCTAGCACCAGGTAGCCCAATTTCTCTGTTTTCTTCATGGCTTGTCAAGTTTTTTTGTTACACAGGTAGGTATCTTCTTCAAGCTTACTTGAACCTTCATATTTTCTGAAGTATTCTGGGATTTTATGTGTCCTTCTGATTCAGACTCAATCTTAGAAATCTTTTTGCTCAGGTGCTATCCATGTGGTTGTCATAACTTCCAAAATATATACTTCAGTCTGGCTCTTGTCAATATTTTTTCTTTTCTAACTTGCCCTTCTTTAACATCCACCTTTGCCTTACTTTGGAAATAGTACACATTGTACTATTATTACTACTACTATTACTACAGGCAGGCAGTAGTACAAAATTGACCAGAAACTAAGGCAAAAAAATAAATACATCCATTTTTCCAGTTGGTTGGAAACCTCTCTTATATCTTGCTCTCCACCTGATCACTTTCCCAGGAGACTAAACTTTCTGGAGTATGTTCCTTACTGGACTTAGCCTGTCCTCACCTCATCTTCCCAAGGGCTGGTGCACTGTGGGAGTTTGGATGACAAAATCTTAATCATATATTTTGTGATCCAGATTCAGGGCTTAAGGCCTTAGAGATTAGGGATGAATATGCTTGTCACTTGAATCCAGTCATGCTTTGGGGTTATGTAGACATCAATAATGAAAACTTTGTACTAATTTAGTACAAGGTAAACATATGGAGAATTTTTCATACTATACATCTTTAATATTATGGAAACTATTATATACAACTTAACATGGTGTATAAGTAAGAATCAGATTATTAAAAGATAGCCTTAGACCCAGGATACACCAGTTGGACCAAGATTTTGAGTCCATCAAAGTCCAGTTTGCTGTTGATACATTAATAGTGGAAAATATCTCTTTCCACTTCAACTGTTTCTCTTCAGTAAAGGTTCCATGAGTGTTCAGCTTCCCATAGGAAGGGACAATAATTCCCTCACTAAGCGATAAGACGTCTGCTGTTCTTTGATCTTAATGTTTTAATGAAATGCAGATCCAAATCCTGAATTAGGCCATGGCCAGGAACTTGAAACAAGTACACTGGGTTCATATAGACTCTCGCTACATAGCCATAAGGATCTTCTAGTCAAAAGGAGAATTCACAGCAACTAGGTTGCTTCTGACTGAGAAAAAAGGTGAGTCCTGTAAATAAATGCATAGAAAGAGAAAAATGAAATAGAGCTAGAGGGAACAATTTGTTGCTCGATTTGCACATGGTTTATTTTCAAAGCTATAACCACTTTGACAGGCCTGTGTTGACACTTACAAGGACCCGCTTTTGGCCTAGTGTTCACCTCTCTGCTTGGAGGTGATGTTGGCACAAGGATGAAAGGTCTTTTTCTCCTTCCAATCCCAGAAATGCCTGAAGCTAGTTTTCTTCCCAGTGCTGGTTACAGTGGATGCTTGGAGCCTTCAATGTTACCCTAGTGTTTGCTTGGGTGCTGGTGGTCCCAGCTGTGTAAACCCAAGCCCATCTTTCTTGCAACTCTTTTCTAATTCTAAAATTTGTGAAGGATTAAAGGTTTCACAATACCTTTGGGGGGTCTCGGGGCATCAGTAGTAATACTGGCAGAAGTAGAAGGGAAAAATAGACCAGGGAATAGAGCAGACTATATCAAATAAAAAAATCATTTAAAAGTCTCAACAGTATAGAAAGTTACGTTAATGTTCCAAACATAACATAACATCATAAGTCTGAATGCAGCTGCTAGAAATGGCAGGCTTATTCTTTTCTGGGCAGATTCAAGAACTGCCAATGAAGTTATAACCAAGGAAGTTATTATCAATGGTATAAGTGGTAAACAAGTGCTAAAAATATTCCGTCCTCAAAAACAAGGTTTTCTTATCTGTGCACATACCTGTCCAGAAAATACAAATGGCCAATGATTAGGGACTGTTTATTGGCTGAATGATATAAAGCAAATGCTGGAGTTCACACACGAGCTCAGCAAATGCTTTCCCATGAATTTAGTGATTTACAATCAGTGTGAAGTTGTTACTTATATGTACAATTAATTAAACAAACATGATTTACTCTGCATTTATCAAGCTGTCTTCAGAACTAATGTAGAAGTAGTGTTACTGTGACCGTGATAAACTAAGGATATCAATGATAGAGATTTTTAAGTAGAGGTAGTATCTTTCAACAAATTGTGAAAAGTAGAAAAATGTATGGACATTGAGGCTTCTCCAAACCTGAAAATAAACACAACAAACTTCAAATCCAACTGCAAATTGTGAACAATTGCTTTGAGTTGAATTAGAGATGTTTCAAGTACAGAAGAGAAAGAACATACAAATAGTGGAATAGCTATACTAGGTCCATCTAATTCAACATTATGTCTCTGATGGTGAGTGGTTAGAACAAAATATCTGGGCAAGTTTGTAGTCTCCCATATTCAGCAGTCAGCTCTTTCAGAGGCATATGTGAGTTGGGGATGATGGGCGGTGTGCTGAAAACCTGAACAAAACTGAAATCCCAAGTGGAGGAACTAGAGGGTCACTTGTTAAAATGTGTTTTTTAAAACTCCTGCTGTGAGGTTGTGGGAGGAAGGAGATACATTGTGATGGCACTCTGGGCAGTACTCTTCATGACAATGAGACAGCAAGATGCAACAATCAGATGTTGCAGCAAGGGAAATTCTAATTGGGCACCGGAAAAAATTCCTCTCTGTGCAGGTGGTTAAGCACTGGGATGTGCTTCCCGGACAGCCTGTGGGATCCGCCTCCATGGGGATTTTCAAAACATGACTGGATAAGGTCTCGGCCAATCCCTTTTAATTTTTCGGTAAGACTGTCTTGAAGCTGGAGGTTGGATTAAATGACTTCCAGAAACCCTTTCCAGCCTGATTTTTCTGTGATACCGTGATTCTATACTTATTCTCCTTCCTGTAACAGCTGTAATTCTGACAGTTTACTCCATCCCTAGAATGGTAAAGTCCTCGCCAGAGTTTCACTAAAAGGCAATTTTCCTTTATGCTTCTCCGTTGTGTGTTAGATTATAGTCCCCAGTCTCTAACCTGGTGATAATAAAAATTTTCGTTTTACAAGCTTAAGCGTTTTATATTATCAGAACATAAAAGCACTGTAGAAGTTACCTCTAGGAAACAGAGGGGTTTGCCAGTTCATAAGAGAAGCAGCTGGGAAATAGTGAGAAGTAATAGCTTGAGATTATGAAGTAATGTTATTACCTGGTTGTGTCTACTGATATTATCAGCAATGGAATGGCTAATTTCTCCAATACTTAAATTGGCTTTGGAGTTAAAGCAACAAGAGTAATGGAGACTATTCACTCGCAACACTGGAGTCTTCAGTTAGCTATTAATGTACTTAAGGCCTGTCTTGAACTCCTGAAGCCCAGAAATATGTATTATTTTTGAACACAATCTTAGATCTGAAACCATAATTCTGTGATGCTATGTGTATTACTTATGTATGGAGTATACATGATTATCATTTATG